TCATTTTAAAAAGGAGCGAATGTCAGTTCACATTCATCTCTTTGCTAAATGATCTAGTTCACTGGTATTCAACTGGTGGGTAAGCACCCGCCAGTGAGTTGAAATCCGATCCAATATGGATCGCAACTGCGGCACGACCACCAAGAAAAATATAGGGAGAAAGGTTAAGAAATGGTTCCCCCCAATCAACCTTTGGGTTGAAAGTAGGTCTTGGTTCTGAAAAAGTTGAAGATATACTTCCCATTCCCGTTCAAGTTCATCTGAATTATCCTCAGCCAATTTTTCTTTGGCATTCGGAATGTTCTAAGCTGCTGAGCTGATAAAAATACGCTTCAGAAGACGAAGAAAACATCAAAACGCACACAGCGGAACGCGAGCGGCTTAATTTATTTCCCCCAGCCACTATGATCTTTAAGGTTCAAGGCCCAAGGAGTCTAGCAGGTCAGAAACAACACGTAAGAAAATGAAGATGAATGAGGAATCGTTTGACAATCTGCCCTAAAACCAACTTAATAAACATTTGGTTCGTGTGGCAACCATGGGGGAATACTTTCAAGTGTGGTTCAGAGATTTTAGGAGTAACTCAGCGACCGTCGTGGAACTGAACTAGTTCATTGGGCAAAGTCTCAGCTGCCCGTTTCAGTTTCTGGGTTTTTTTGAAACTTGAGTTCCATTCTCCCCATTTGCACATCGGTTCCTGAATTTATTTTTTAAAAGGCGCTCGTGAAAATTCACCAGGCTTTTAATAATAATAATAATAATAATAATAATTTTTATTTATACCCCGCCCTCCCCAGCCAAGGCCGGGCTCAGGGCGGCTAACAAGCAAGAATAAAACAAGTTGAATGAATACATTAAACTCGCTGCTGCATTCTGCACCCGCTGGAGTTTCTGGGTCAGCTTCAAGGGCAGCCCCGTGTAGAGAGAATTACAGTAGTCAAGCCTGGAGGTGACCGTCGCATGGATCACTGTGGGCGGGTCGGGGCGGGAAAGGTAAGGGACCAACTGCTTGATGCGGCGAAGGTGGAGAAAGGTCGCCTTGGCTGTTGCTGTAACCTGCACCTCCATGGAAAGGGAGGCGTCAAGGATTACACCCAAACTCTTAATGGAAGGCAATGGCACTAATTGGGCCCCCGCAAGAGAAGGGAGTTTTAGTGCACATTTCTCATGCATATTTTTTTGTGCACCATTTTGCATAACCTACCATGTTTTTGCATATTGACTTCCTCCAAATATAGCATAGGGTTTTTTATATGTTATTTGTATGTACACTTTAGCTACTGGGCTGGTTTTTCTTCATCATCAGGTGCGTCAGAACCATTCTGGAAAAGTGACAGGAAGCCACCCACCGCGCTGAAGTGACCCCTCCATTTAGAGAGAGGGGAAGAATAACATGTTTGTTGCCTCCCCTGCTTTCAAGGAGCGGTGCTTTTTCCAGGGAGGAGAAAAAAAGCCCATGGAAATTTGCCACAGCTGTATATCATTTTTTGAAAAAGCCATTTGTGCCCTGCACCGAACTGCATCTACCATACCCATACGGGTGGTTATTTTAAAGCTAATCTTCCAGTGATTTGGCACTCCAAAATGTGCAAGTCACATCCCTTGATTGTCTACAGCTGCGGCCTGGCCCACACATGTAAGCGAAGGGAAATGATGTGGCAGAGAGGACGGGCAGATGAAATTCTAACCTGGTCGAAAATGCCTTTGGAGCAGCGGGGGGAGAAGGCTGGGATGCGGGCTTTCTTCTCTGCACTGTGAAAATGTGTCAAGCAGGACGGTGCACGAGAACGGACTCCCTGAAAAGGGTCAGTTGACCACATGGATGTTGAGCTAAAAGCTGGGAAGAGGGTTCCTGAAACTAGGGACATAGCTCAGAGAGAGGAGGCCAACAAAGCAGAGTTAGAGGTGCCCAGAGACTCAGAATGTGCTGGGCCAGGAGCAGCAGATTCACTGCTCCTAATTTTAAAAGGTAAAGGGACCCCTGACCATTAGGTCCAGTCGCGGACAACTCTGGGATTGCGGCGCTCATCTCGCTTTACTGGCCGAGGGAGTCGGCGTACAGCTTCCGGGTCATGTGGCCAGCAGGACTAAGCCGCTTCTGGCGAACCAGAGCAGCGCACGGAAACACCGTTTACCTTCCCGCCGGAGTGGTACCTATTTATCTACTTGCACCAAGGAATATCAGCCCAAGCATACTCTGCAGATGCCTCCTGGATGGTTCTGTGATATCACACATTCATTGCCAGCAGTATTTTCTGCACTTGCAATTGCCTGTGATGACAACTTTCTGTTTCAGTTTGAGAATGGCAACCAAAACATTTCGCAAAGAGAAAGTGTGAAACAGGTTAGGCTCCTCTTTAAGAGGAGTTTGTATTTGATATCCCGCTTTATCACTACCCGAAGGAGTCTCAAAGCGGCTAACATTCTCCTTTCCCTTCCTCCCCCACAACAAACACTCTGTGAGGTGAGTGGGGCTGAGAGACTTCAGAGAAGTGTGACTGGCCCAAGGTCACCCAGCAGATGCATGCGGAGGAGCGGGGAAGCGAACCCGGTTCACCAGATTACGAGTCTTAACCACTACACCACACTGGCTCTCTTTAAATAGGCATGGAATCAAATTCCTCCCATCCTGACTCCGAAGACATTTTGCTTTCTCTCGGAGTGTCGGCGCTGCAACAGAGTCCACACTCCCTCCCACCTTGAACCTGAGGAACCTGCTCTCCCTGATACCATCGCATGGCTGCCAGCTTCCCCTCTCCCGAAAAGGATGCCAGACTCGCTAAAGGCTTTGGGTTTGTTCATTTTGCTTCTTTTATCCGAATGGCAGCGGAGAAGAAAAACATATTTCCAAGCTGCTCCCTCCCGGCTGATGCAGGCTTTCGGCGCATGGAGGGTCGCCGTGTGCAGAGCAAATAAAAATATTTTGCTGAAGCGAAAAATGAGGAAGCACATAGGGGGTGGGCGGGGGAGAAAGAGATTAGCGTTATTCTATAAGCATACGGAGGGCTATTCCAATGGCAGAGCCGAATCTCTTGCCGCAGCTCACCCCAGGGGTCAGGAAACCTACCAGCCGTGAAACGGGACTGGAGGGGGTGCAATAAAAAGGTTGCCAAGTTTAATAGCTGGGCAGTGAAAATACGCCGAGAGAGTTACAGCCTTGACCCTCAACTCAACTACCACCCTAATTACTACCAGCCTGGCAAGCTGGCAGGGAAAGGAGATGCCCGTGTCGTGGGAATGCTGACATCAGCTGGGAATGCACACAGGAACTTATTTCTGTGCCCATTTTGCACATATTCATTCAGGGACGTGGGTGGCGCTGTGGTCTAAACCACTGAGCCTCTTGGGCCTGCTGATCAGAAGGTCGGAGGTTTGAATCCCCGCAACGGGGTGAGCTCCCGTTGCTCCGTCCCAGCTCCTGCCAGCCTAGCAGTTCGAAAGCACATCAAAGTGCAAGTAGATAAATAGGTACCACTGCGGCGGGAAAGTAAACGGCGTTTCCGGGTGCACTGGCTTCCGTCACGGTGTCCTGTTGCGCCAGAAGTGGTTTAGTCTTGCTGGCCACATGACCTGGAAAGCTGTCTGTGGACAAACGCCGGCTCCGTTGGCCTGAAAGCGAGATGAGCGCCACAACCCCAGAGTCGCCTTGGACTGGACTTAACCATCCAGGGGTCCTTTGCCTTACCTTTTACCCAGAACTCGACATAATGGGTTGCGTCCAAGGTAAGCCATGCTCAGAGCTGACACGTTGAGTTTAAAGGACATGACTTACTTGAGGCTGTTAATTTCAATGGTCCTACTTTGAGTAGAAGTTGGGACTTTAGATGCAGCCTGCCTAGCCCTGTTAGGGCCACATAGCCAGCTTATTGAGGACAATACCACCACCTTAAGGGGTCCTTTACCTTTACTTTTTTAACCTACATATTCATTCACAAGAACAAAAGACGACTAGGGACTAAGGAGAGGAGAACTGGTGGAGACTGCCTCTCCAGCCTGACTGTTTAGAATTACAACAGGGGTTGGAGGGAGGTCCCAGAATGAGTAAAGGTAAAGGGACCCCCGACCATTAGGTCCAGTCATGGCCGACTCTGGGGTTGCGGCGCTCATCTCGCTTTATTGGCCGAGGGAGCCGGCGTACAGCTTCCGGGTCATTTAGCCAGCATGACTAAGCCGCTTCTGGCGAGCCAGAGCAGCGCACGGAAATGCCATTTACCTTCCCGCCAGAGCGGTGCCTATTTATCTACTTGCACTTTGACGTGCTTCCGAACTGCTAAGTTGGCAGGAGCAGGGACCGAGCAACGGGAGCTCACCCCGTCATGGGGATTCGAACCACCGACCTTCTGATCGGCAAGTCCTAGGCTCTGTGGTTTAACCCACAGCACCACCCGCGTCCCTCCAGTAGACCCACTTAAATTAATGGGCCCAGATTGGCCCTATCTATTAACATCAGTGGGGATACTCTGAGTAGGACTGGCATTGGATCTGAGCCCAGGTCTGTTTGCATTGTTATTTGCAAGGATTAACCTTACCAAGTGTCCTTCTGTGCCAGAAACCCTGCTGGAAATCCGTCTACTCTTAGATTTTATTTATCTAAAAGCATTTATAAGCCAATTAATATTTCAAAAATCTCCACGCAGTGCACAGCCTAAAAACAACAACCACCTCCAAACAATTGCGTCGTTAGAACAAAACCACGAGCTAAAAAACAATCAAGCAGCAAGAATACTTTCAAGCGCATAAAACAAATTCAGACTTAAATCACGTAAAAAGGGGTCTAGTCTTATGGGCCCAAGGGGAAGAAAGGAAGTCTTTGCAAGACATCTGAAATCATGGCTTTGCACTTGGCAGATGGAAGGGCATTCCATAGAACAGGAGCAATATTCTCCATATTCTGCAGGGTGTCGTGCCACAAGTAGCATTTCCCCAGGTAGAATAATAGAGACAGAATTATAGCTGGAAGTTTAGGTTCATCTAGTACACCCCCTGCAATGCAGGAATCTTTCAGCCAACGCAGGACTTGAACCCACGACCTTGAGATGAACAGTCTCATGCTCTACTGACTAAAGATCTATGTCAGGGACCAGCAAACTTTTTCAGCAGGGGGCCAGTCCACTGTCCCTCAGACCTTGCGGGGGGGGCAGATTTTTTTGGGGGGGTAATGCAAGAACACCACGAGCCCCAGTGGCTGCTTACCTGTGTTTTGCGAACGGCAGGGGCTGGCCACCACCTCACATCATGGGACTGACTGGGATGTGCTCAGGATCTCTAACAATGCCTGTTGCTTGCCTTGATAGTGTCACGGTCCGGTTTACGGGCGGTCAAAGTCCTGGCAGAGGACGTCGGGACCGGGGGTAAGACAGCGGGGTGGGAGTAGGAACGAGAGTCCGGAAGCCAGGAGTCAGGAAGTTAGGGGTCCGAGGATCAGGAAGCAAGAAGTCACGAAGTCAGGGGTCCGAGGGTAAGGAAGACAGGAGTCACGAAGTCAGGGGTCTGAGGATCAAAAGCAAGGAATCACGAAGTCAGGGGTCCGAGGGTCGAGGAGCAAGGACTCACAAAGTCAGGGGTCCGAGGATCAAGAAGCAAGGAGTCACGAAGTCAGGGGTCCGAGGATCAAGAAGCAAGGAGTCACGAAGTCAGGGGTCCGAGGATCAAGAAGTAAGGAGTCATGAAGTCAGGGGTCCGAGGATTAAGAAGTGAGGAGTCAAGGAGCCAAACGCATCAAATCAGGGAACTTGTTGCTGTGTCAAAGAGCCAAAGGGAAATGCTGACCTTATATCCCTTCCTGGCTCTTGCCACCAGGTGCTATGAGTTACCAATCAGCCTCACCTGTGCATCCGTGCCTTGCCTCTTCAGAACAAACTTAGGAAGGTCCCAGTCCTGCAAAGTCCTACTGGTCACAGGGCTTGGCTCCTGCACGCACTCCTGACACCCTTCCTCCTATAGGCAGGGCAGGGAGAAGCCAGGAGGAGGGAGGAGGCGCCGGCGCCACCTTGTGAAGGAGAGGGAGGGAGATGCAAAGAATGTGCTCGCTGGCGATCCATGCGGCGATTCCCGGACCATCCGTGGGCCGGATCCAGAAGGCAATTGGGCCTGATTCGGCCCTCAGGCCTTAGTTTGCCGACCCATGATCTATGTGATCTTACAGGTCAATACAGGGGCAGGCAGTCTTCCAAGTAACCTGGTCCCAAGTTTTTTGGCGCTTTTCAAAGGCAGCCGTAGGCAGAACTCGTTACAGTGAATTACTACCTCTAGCCTTTATTGTGATAAGTTAAAACAGTAAAATCACAAAATCCTACAAAGTCATCCAAATACATTGATAATCCAAACGCACGCACAATATATAAAAGTCTAGATAGCCACCAATGACTAAATCAGGCAATTTTAGATTTAGCTTTAAAGATCTCAGCTAAGTACCCTGAAATCTTGGTAGTTTGGGGAGCAGGAGGCAACAAAGACAGGTGTTTATACTGTTGGAAATGACAGCAATGTGTTAGAATTATTAAGAAGAACAGTATTTACCACAAGTAAACTAGTCCCAAGTTGTTAAGGGCTGAATATACTAACCGTAGCACCTTGAAGTTGTTCCGGTAGCAAATATGCAACCCGTGTTAAAGATGTAAGTTTAATCTGCATAAAAAGCAATGTTTGCATGCACTGTATTTTAAATGCTATGCAGAGAGGATTGTTTTAGGCAGGAGGATCATCTGTAGCAAAAGTGGCAAGGAAAGGCTGGATGTTTCTATCTGAGTGTTCAGGTTAATTGATGACTCATCGCCATAAACCCAAGCAGAGAACTCTCACCGCAGGAAAATGAAACTTGAGAAGTCAGCGTCTAAGTCAGGAGATGGAGCCAGAAGCTTCAGGAGATGTTCAGCTCCAGGATGATGAACAAGCAAGTTACATAGGACCAGAGAGCGGAAAGTTTATTGAAATGAATTAAGGACTAAAAATAAGACTGGGCCGGATTGCTTGCAGTTTATGAGCAATGTGTTACTTTGTATCTTTGTTAACGTTTTGTTTGTAACTATTTTAAGGCTGTTTCCAGCGTTGAAGCTCAGTTTTGCGGTGGACAGCAAATTCATTTCTACCTGATACTGGGTCCAGAACAGGGACTCTGTTTGCAGCAAGTCTCTCAAACTACCTGGACCTTGAGATCATCTTCTGAGGTCCTCCTTTGTGTGCCTCCTCCTTGAGAGGTCCAGAGGGTGGCAACATGAAAATGGAAGAGGAACCACCACCACCACCACCTGCAATATGGACATGCGATGCCACATGCCTGCATGTAAGAAGAAAGGTAAAGGACCCCTGAATGGGTAAGTCCAGTCAAAGGCGACTGTGGAGTTGTGGCGCTCATCTCTCTTTCAGGCCGAGGGAGCCGGTGTTTGTCCGCAGATGGCTTCCCGGGTCATGTGGCCAGCAGGACTAAACCGCTTCCGGTGCAACGGGACACTGTGACGGAAACCAGAGCACACGGAAACGCCGTTTACCTTCCCACTGCAGCGGTACCTATTTATCTACTTGCGCTGGTGTGCTTTCGAACTGCTAGGTTGGCAGGAGCTGGGACAGAGCAACGGGAGCTCACTCCATCGCGGGGATTCGAACCACCAACCTTCCAATCGGCAAGCCCAAGAGGCTCAGGGGTTTAGACCACAGCGCCACCCACATCCCACGCCTGCAGCACTATGTGCAGGTGTGTGTGTTTGACGTTGCACATTCGTGTTGCGGCAGCAGGCACCCACAATCCTGAGGGCAAGATGGTACTGCTGTGAATCCTCATAGCAAAGGTCATGACCCAAACCCTCTCTTCCAGAGCCTACAAGGGTCCCTGTTTTCCAGGGACAGTCCCGGATTCACAGAAGCCGTCCCAGTTTCTGAACTGATCCCAGGATGTCCCGCTTTTCCTTAAAGGTAAAGGGACCCCTGACCATTAGGTCCAGTCATGGCCGACTCTGGAGTTGCGGCGCTCATCTCGCTTTATTGGCCGAGGGAGCCGGCGTACAGCTTCCGGGTCATGTGGCCAGCAGGACTAAGCCGCTTCTGGCGAACCAGAGCAGCGCACGGAAACGCCGTTTACCTTCCCACCAGAGTGGTGCCTATTTATCTACTTGCATTTTGATGTGCTTTCGAACTGCTAGGTTGGCAGGAACAGGGACCGAGCAACGGGAGCTCACCCCGTCAAGGGGATTCGAACAGCCGACCTTCTGATCGGCAAGCCCTAGGCTCTGTGGTTTAACCCACAGCGCCACCCACTTTTCCTTAGGATATCCCTATTTCCATTGGAGAAATGTTGGAGTTATGCAATCCATGAACCAAGGAACCAAGTAACTCTATAACCTTTAGAAGACATCTGAAGACAGCCCTCTATAGAGAAGTTTTTAAATATTTAATGTTTTATTATGTTCCTGTAGATGTTGGAAGCCTCCAGGGAGGCTGGGGCAACCTAGTCAGAAGGGCTGGGTATTATTAATATTATTATTATTATTATTATTATTATTATTAAGGACCAGTCTGGATAGTTGGCCTTGGTGAAGTTTTGACATTTTCATCCCCAAAAAGTTTTTTTTATTTGAGTTTCTACTGAAGTGAGGCTGCATTTTAATGTTGTATTTTAATCTTGTTTTTAAGTTGTATTTTAACCGATTGTTTTTATACCTGGTGTTAGCTGCCCTGAGCCCGGTCTTGGCTTGGGAGGGCGGGGTATAAATAAACATTATTATGATTATTACTATTATTCATCAAAAAAACGAAGATCATGGCCACTGGTCCCATCACTTCCTGGGAAATAGAAGGGGAAGAAATGGAGGCAGTGAGAGATTTTACTTTTTTGGGCTCCATGATCACTGCAGATGGTGACAGCAGTCAAGAAATTAAAAGACGCCTGCTCCTTGGGAGAAAGACGATGGCAAACCTAGACAGCATCTTAAAAAGCAGAGACATCACCTTGCGAACAAAGGTCCGTATAGTTAAAGCTATGGTTTTCCCAGTAGTGATGCATGGAAGTGAGAGCTGGACCATAAAGAAGGCTGATCGCCGAAAAATGGATGCTTTTGAATTCTGGTGCTGGAGGAGACTCTTGAGAGTCCCATGGACTGCAAGAAGATCAAACCGATCCATTTTGAAGGAAATCAGCCCTGAGTGCTCACTGGAAGGACAGATCCTGAAGCTGAGGCTCCAGTACTTTGGCTACCTCATGAGAAGAGAAGACTCCCTGGGAAAGACCCTGATGTTGGGAAAGATGGAGGGCACAAGGAGAAGGGGACGACAGAGGACGAGATGGTTGGACAGTGTTCTCGAAGCTACCAGCATGAGTTTGACCAAACTGCGGGAGGCAGTGGAAGACAGGAGGGCCTGGCGTGCTCTGGTCCAGGGGATCACGAAGAGTCGGATACAACTAAACGACTAAACAACAACAACATTATTCAGGAAGTCACTATTTTCATCAGAGAAATCTTGGCTCCCCGCTTTTGCTGGAGAGAGGCTCCCCTCCATCCATTGGTGGTGATATTCATTTCCTCTCCTCCGCAAGTGCATGTCCTCGACCGAATCGAAACGTTAGTTCTTTGGGCTCTTGATATAGTCGGAAAATGCAATTATCTGATAATATGCTTTCATGGCTCCAAATATACTCACGCAATGGCAGTTCGAGAGAGAGGAAGCAATGCCCGCGTCACTGTATTTATTATATACAAAGGCGAGAGCAGAAACACAGCTCCATCTCCCACCAAACCCTAGTCCAGACTGAATCAGGCTGCTGAGAGGACCAACATTCTCCATTCTTTTCTCAGGGCCGGCACACCTATTAGGCTCACCTATTAGGCTTCCCCCTGAAGTGGTACCTATTTATCTACTTGCGCTGGTGTGCTTTCGAACTGCTAGGTTGGCAGGAGCTGGGACCAGCTGCAGAGAAGAGCCACTTCCACCATACCAGTCCTGAAAAGAAGTTCCCTCTGTTGTTGCCACTCTTTTCTGGCCTGCTATTTTATACCCCTCACTTTCTTCAATGTGCCATGCAGGGTGTCACTACATAGGGCGTCGCTGTATATGATGCATGCACCATACGTAGCAAAGCCGCACATAGCA